CGCAAATAGATTTAAAATCCATATTGTATCCATAAAAGAAAAGAAAAAAACAGCTAATATAACTCATATAATTAAGACATCAATAGTGTAGTGTATCATGTTAATTGTATCAAGAGTTCTAAAGCCACAGTATTTGTATTTTATATAAGGAAAAAGAAGAAATTCAAAACTTAAACTTAGAGAGTTGTTAGGCTTAGTATAAGCATATAATTGCAAAAAAAATAATATAGTTAATAAAATTAGGAAAAGGAAAGTCAACAGTATTTTAAAAAGAAAGGAGATGAATTAGCAATTGGATTTTAGAAATCTGTGGAGAAGCTAAGAAGATAAAATTTTTCATTGAATGCTATAGGAGCTCACCTTGGTGTATCATAAAATTAAGTTTATTATCTTAACAACAACAGAAATTTTGTAATTGCTAAATTCTAAATAAGCATACTTCAATTTAAATAAAATCATGTTTTATGGATAAGGAAATTTCTAACGCAAAGTGAAATTAAAGATTTAGAGTCATCAAGTTAATACACAAAAGGTTTTTAGAATAATTCTAAATAAGTAACTTAAAAAAGACATAAACAGTTAAAATTGGGATTTTATTTATTTAGATAAAAATGGGCCTATAGAATTTCAAGTTAATAATAGTATAAATAATAAGGCATAAACACTTATTAGTAAAGAATTAATTTAAACTATGACCACAGAGATACATCGAAAGAACTAGAGATTATAATTTAGGATATCTCTCAAATTTAATTAATTATTAATGAATATAATGATCTTATTGATGTTATTATAAATATATTTTAAAAAATCATTAATTTTTTTCTTTTTCAAAAGAAAGTAATTGGATTTTATTTAAAATATTCTTCTTCAATTTGTTAAATAGTTTTTCTTTTGTATTACTCAAAATATATTTGTAGAATTATGCAAAAGAATAAATTATAGGTTTGGTTCTTCAGAAATTCAGGTAATTTCTTTAATGTGCTAATTTAACTGTTAATTTTAATTATGATGTATTTAAATTATATTTAAATTTGCAGAAGCAGAAGGTAAGCTGCTTTAAGTAATATTTTTGCCTGAACATTAATTTCTCTTTAAAAACCAACTATTTAAAATTTTTTTACATTATGCCATTAGTTTTTAATGTATTTTATCAAAAAATGATAATTAAAGATTTTTTTTGCATTTTCAATTTATTCTGTTTCTTAGAAACCCACTAAGTTAATCTGTAATTTAGATAATTATTTGGTTATTTCTTCTAATTTTAATCTAACTAAAAAAAAATTACTGTTACAACTATTAATCTTTTCTCATACTTTTTGATGATTATTATAACTTTTCAGTGTATTATAATATGAAATACTTTTGATATCAATAAATTATTAAAAATAAAAGGTTATCAAAACATTACCTTCAACACATATTATTCAATCTATTTGTTTTACTTTTAGATTAATTATAGGTTTAATATTATTTTTGAAATTCTTGATATATCTCTTTATTATTTTTGTTATTAAATTCAATAATTAGTAATTGTTTACTATCTTTGACTATTTAAGAATAAGTAAACTATTAATTATAACTATAAATTTCAGTCCAGTTAATACATAGTAATAAATTAAGTACCTATCATTACATCTTAAATGATATAAAAAGAATGACTTTGTGTTAATTTAGTTTTAATTTTTATAAATAATTGTTCACACTTTATATTGGCCTTTTCGTTATACTCTCTGTTTTTAGATTATTTCTTGAATTTAATATCATTTAATATTACATCTCTATAAATATGAATTGATAACATGACATCTCAATAATAATTACCTAAATATAAATGAAATGGACAAAACTTTTGTATATGTAGCTGAAGTAATGAAAATGAAGAGCGGATCTGAAAAAAAAATAATTAAAAATATATTAGAAATTTGGCTTTTTATTATCCTGTTTTGATATCCCATAGAGGGATAGACTAATCATCACTACCAGAAGCTAATGTATTTCCATCAGATGAGAAACAGACAGAGGAGACAATGCTAGTATGACCATCTAATTTGGCTTTTTATTATCCTGTTTTAACATTCCAGAGACGGATAGAGTTAATTCTACTACTACTAGACAAGATAATTACACTAAAATATTGCTGTAGCATGCCTTCTTCTTTAGGCGAAGGAGATCCTAGTTCATTTCTTTTGGGGTAATTTTTTTAAGTTTTTATTTTACATAAGAAGTGAATCATCAAATAAGTATAAATTGATGATTAATATCAAATAATTCTCATATTCCTCAATTTATTCTGCAATTTATTAATTGCTTTCTTAATTTAGTTTAGAACTTAATGGCATTGTAATTAAAAAAATAATAAGCCTGACGTAGTTCTACTTAATGATGAGAGGATATAGAGTTTAAAAGTTTCATTCATTTCAGCTCCATTATCCATCTTTAATAGCATTCTAAATTTCTAGTATTGAAATTAATAATTAAATTTAGAAATTATTAAGACAACTATAATGAGTTAAAATGAGTTGAATTAAGAATTAGTTAGGAAATATATATTGAAAATTAAA